ACCTGCGAAAAAGTGGAAGTCCAAATGGTCGCCCCCGATGCATGTTCAAATATGCATGCTAGTTCGTAATTTCACAGAAAAGGTAGTTTAGTTGCAAACGCACATGCGTGCATTTCCACCATATATTTTTTATATGTCGTCGAATATTTGAGAATAGCCCACCTGGCAACCGAATCTGATTGCTATCCGTTTGCAATTTATAAATGCTTAGGGTGCCCGAGTTCAGATCATCTCCCAGAGATGAGATTCTATTGAGTGAAATCGAATCAAGTGAAAATAAATGTTCCACCTTGTGCCATTCTACCCACGAAAAGGCTCGAAACTTACAATAAAAGGTTGTCTCGCGTCAAATCTATTGATGATATCTATATGGGAAAGTAAAACGTTGGCTTCCTGCAAATTTATCAACGACCTTTTCCGCAGTTGAGCTAGAAATTCAAATGAACTAAACCTCGGAGGTACTATAATTGAAATCAAATTTGAAAAGCACGGAACAAGAATCATTGTTGGCCTGATATTTCAAAAATCTGCATGATAATGAAAATGACATTGGAAAACAGTTAAACGGTGTTTAATTTGCGACCGTAAATTTTATCCTACATCCTTTAATTCCCTCACCCAACGGTTCCTTGAACATTACCACAATATATGTCATTGATCGACGGATGAATCTGTTCGTGCGTGCATATTCAGACGTAAAACGAAATTAGAAATTGTTCAACCATGAACGTGTAATGCTCCTACTTGCCAGGAAATCGGTAACCCGGTGAGCCAGATATGATGTTTCAAGGGAGCCGACGCGGTGATATAGATTCAAGATAAATTCTTTCTCCTCACTAATCAGATCAAAGAATACTTCGCCACTTAAAAATACCGTCAAAAGAATTAAATATCAGCGTGCTGCATACTTTCGAGCTCTGTGGTGTGACTTGAAAGGATTGACTTCTTTGCTCAGGAGATAATCGAATTTGTTGTACGCCCGATTCACCCATGACTTTTCAATCTTTTATGCAAACAAAATTCATCGTTTAACTAAACTATAATTAACCGCAATTGAAATGGTAGTTTGTAAGCTGTTCACCTCTTTTGTCATCTTTCTCTCCCTCACCACAGAAGTGCTGTGCGGATGACCGCTCCCAAATGTTTTATTCTGTAGTATCTTAAAATATCTATTCTTTTCGCTGTCATAATAAAAACCAGGGATCTCCATTGGTGAGCTATTATCTGATGCATTCGGAACATTTGGCGAACAAGAGTGAGGATCATTATTCGCCACGCACGGGATGCGGGAATCTGTATCACTTGTCTTTACGATCTTTTTGGGTCGATGGGACGAATCGATTCTGCGATGTTTACCCATTCCGTAATGAACCAAAAAGGCGGAAGCTCAAACTTTTATAATGATTTTTCGTCACGTGTGGTCGATCCAATAAAATTCCCATAATTTCAAATTGCATATGACTTTGGTGATACACACACAATGCCGAGTGATTAAAGTTGACTGCGTGATGTTTTATCGAAAATCTGTCTAAGTTGGTCTGAATATATTTATTCTATTTTATCTTTTGATGACCAGAGAGGATATCTGATAGTCGACAAACTTTTAAATTGCCCACTTCGAGACAACGAATTTAAGTAAGAGACGATGGGTAGATCACATCGCATTATGTTTAATGGAATTTTCCTACGGGAATTTGCTTAAACATTTGTGGGAACGGCCATCAATGCCAAATTTTCTAAAGATGTGTGCGGTTCAACGTAATAAATTAATTCAACCTCAAACCCATTGTCTTGCAGGTATCTGTACCGACCGAAATCCAATATTCGTTTACACTTATATCCCAAATTTTCACGCGCGCAATGATCTAGGCCAGAATAGTGCAGTCTGTTTAACGTGGAGGGTATAAAGAGTTAACGCGAATACATTTCATTGAAAAGGATCGCGATATGAAAATGAATAAATAAAAGCTTCACTGTTTTACCCACTTTGTATCATCAAAATCATAATGCTCGTGGTCATGTTCCTTCCCCTCACCTCCATCATCGTTTTCCTCATGTTCACCATTCTCATTATCACCGTGCCTGGGTCTTTGCCCGCAGACCGCCCAACTGCTCATAACGCACATTCCCTTAAAATCATCTTCGGTAATTCCAAATTCCTTCAGGTATTCGTGATTTGGATACATATGATATTGACACGACTGATGACAGCACAATGCTATGATGATTCCTCTCACCGGTTCCCTATCTCGAAGCGGATTATAAGAACATTGTTATTTGCTTCCGACGCTGAAATAATATACACACCTGTCCTTCTCGGAATTAACATAATTAATCAAAGATTTCAAAGTGACATCCGTGGCCGAACCACAAAGATGTTTGGAATATGCAACAATTGGCTTATCCTTAATCAAGTCAAGTTTCGAGAGGTCAATGTCCTTGATATCGATCCCTATCCGTTTCACGGTTGACTTCTCCGAAATGCTACGAATTCCTGAATCAAACTTTTTTTTTTTTTTTGAGAAAACCGTCAGCAACGAGCGTTAACCCGTAACAAGGAAAAGCACAAAAGAAAAAAAAAAACAAAGTGAAAAACCTTGCAGCGGGTATTTTTCCTATCGATCAGAATAAATGTGGAATATTCGTCCCCATCTTCTTTAATCGCAAGTTTTGTGAAATAAGATAATTCACCTGTACAAATGAATTCAATAAAATCTTATTAATTAGTACGTGGAAGTAAATGACATGATACATGAAGCTTGAAAGGAAAATTTACCTTTTCCACTTCCAAACTCCACAAAGCACCTCTGAGACTTTAACAGACCCAAGCGTGACATATGTCCTAACAACGATGCCTATGTATTATTCCCGTATATAACCATCTGTGAGCAAGAAACTCGTGTTACGAACGTCAGTGGAATTAATACCTGCTGAACTGCGTGCTTCCCATTTTTAAGGGTTTCCCTTCATGAAAGGGGAAAACGTTTTTAGCTTCTTGAAATCAAATTTCCGACATTCATCCAAATCCAACCCTTCTAATCCAACTTAATATGAAAATGGCTATACATTTTCTCCCTCAAGGCCTCGTGATCTAACACCAAAGTCTTGATGTCCAGCACAATTCTATCAAACCAAATATCCACATCGTGGATCAACCTCTCCAATGCTTCTTTGTCTAATTCAGAAAGTGCAAACCTTCCGTCTCGTTCGGGTGCAGGCAATGTACAATTGATGTTTAGAGAAAAGTATGGGGGATTCGGTTTCGGACGAGAGTTGCATTTGTACTCCAGGTGATTCTCGAGTTCGTCTTTGTATACCGTGCTTTGATTATAAGGGGGTGTGCGAGAGAATGTTTGCATCATTGAACGTCGTGAAAAATCGAAATCAATGTTGCATTTAAATAATGACTTACTGTGATAGATCATACGGGCAGGGGATTCGTTCTCTTGTGGTTGCTTTCGTATCATGATTCAGATGCTCGCCGCAATAGTCATTGCCAATCTTTGTGGGTAAATGACAATACCGTCTACATTCGCGAACAAAAAATATCGAATCATTCTCTAATTCACAATCACAGTTCTCGGATGGGAATCTATTCAAACCTACTTTTTCCGTCTTACCCAATAATGACATTGACGAGGCTTTTTGAATTCCGGCAAAAGTAAAAAAAACCAAATCAACAAACATAATCAACAAAAACATAACATAAAAATCATCATATCCTACAACATTATCAGGTGGTGGTGGCGGAATGGATTCTTCTTTCTTTAACCGTTTTGCTCTGGGCTCAATCGACATCAATTCGAAAATAGGATCGAGAATTGTAGCTCGGCGCCATTTATATAATAATGTACAGAGACCGGCTTTCACGTGATTAAATCGTGTAAAAAAAAGTTTGCAAAAAGTTACAGCACCCAGTATTCCCATGTTGTCCCCAACCATAGTACTGACTGGGCCATCAGTGGCTTAACTTCGGAGATCGGACGGGTTCCGGTGCTTTTCACTGTGTATGGCCGTAACTACTAGAGGTTTCTTAAAATTAATATAAAAGATGATGTACCCACTCCAATGCAACTACATTCAACGCACATCTTTTTTCAACTACTTATCTAAATAAAGTACATTTATTAGGATTAATGGACAATCTAATCAAATTTTATTCCCTTTATTAATATCACAATTGTATTTCAAAATAAATTGCACCCCATAATTTAACTAAATTAAAAAAAGAATTGTACACAATAAAATTTGGTCTCCACGTGCTCGGATTATTGGATTATTTTAAGATAAAAAGGAGAATTCGGAAAATACAAAAGCCTGTGGCAGTAGGAGGTAACGAGTACAACTGCGCACACCAATAAGTAGTCAAACAATTATAGACGAAACAAAATCCCTTGATTAAGAAATAACACAAGAATTACAACATCTCGCTTTTTCGGAAACTTTGCTTTTTTCTTTTTCCGAAAAGTCTGTATCATGTTTGCATTGTGAAGAAAATTTTATTGTGAGCGATCTTCCACTCTTAACACCAAGTAGCAATAGCAAATGTCATATCAAAATATGTACCTGAATTCTTGAGACCCGGAAATTCCAAAAGTCGGCTGTTATAGATTGCCAATGGATTTATCTGGTATTTAAGGGGACCCGACTTTTTCTCAATATCGGACGAGGACTCATTCTTTGACTCCTCGATTTTCTTTATCTGTTTGTACAGAGTTGACTCCTCGTCTTTGTAACTCTCGAGCCATTGTGAGATGTTATAAAATATATCTTGTGCGGTGGGTCGATTACTAGTTCGCTGATCCCAGCATCGTTTTATGTATTCCAAAATCAAAGGTGGTAGTTCCTCGATCTTGTATTCCGGGCGAAGACCTTTGCAAATTTCCATCGCTAACGAGCCATCGTGTGGAACGTTGTAATAGGGAGGAAGGCCGGTGAACACCTCGTACATGACAATCGCAAACGAATACACATCGGAATCTTGAGTGTACTTTCGACCGGACAATACTTCGGGTGCCACGTATGGCAGAACTCCGAACACCTGATCGGATGAGGACTTATAATGACCAATCGGTTTGCACATTCCAAAGTCGGAAAAGTTCGGAGTCGATTTGTCAATCATGATGATATTTCCCGAGTGTAAATCTCGATGCAAACCCAATTTGTGGATATCCTTAAGACCATTAGCACTGTCCTTAAGTAAGCTCAATTTGTCGTGCCAGGATAGACTGTTGAAATTCTTGTTTAGGGACTCTCGAAGACTACCCTCGGATGAATATTGCATGACAATCATATAGTCCTTGGTGCTCGCATCTTGGGTGAAACCGTAGACCGAGATGACGCGGGTGCTTCTTGCTTTGACCTGGTGTTGAATCTAAATTATCGAAGCATCATAATTTAGAAAATTAATCAAAAAACAACGGAGGGTCACATTGGAATAATCAATCAATTTTTATTACCGCCTCCAGAAATTCTTTTGTGATATTATTCTTCGAGTTGTGAATTTGCTTCAGACAGACCGTCTTCTTTCCTGCCCTTTTCCACTCATTCTTCTCCAAATTCCACTCGTTAATGTACCCATCGAGCCAACTTGCTTTATAGACGGTGCCAAATCCTCCTTGTTTGATAAAGGTGATGTCGGTAAATCTGTCAAAGGGAATCCACTCGATGGCCAGGTTAAACCGTTGCTCGTTCAACTGAATTTCGTGAATGAATTCGTCCAAGTTTTTATTACCGCTCGTCCAGTTCTTGAAGTTTTTGGAAAAATGACTGGACACACAATTCTTACACCAACTCGAGTATTTCTTTATTGGTGCATTACAACCCTTGCACTCGTTTTGAGAGACGGGGTGGACCTTTGTAGCTGGGCGGGCGTCGACCATGTTGAGTGCGGCTAAGAGGAAGAAGATGAAAAGAAAATGGAATTGAAGAAGATTTAAATAATTTTGATTATTCCCGGCGGCTAATTCACTTCACGTAAAAGAATCATTGGCATTGACTATTACCTCAGTGGAAACTTAAATTAATCATAAGAAAAAAAAAAAAAAAAGGATTCTATCATTTTATTTAAAAGAAATCATTTATCAGGATACCAATAACGTAAATTACTACTTTGATTTAATAAAGTCAACGACAACTTACGCTTGCACACCACTATCCGTTAGAGTATGACGAAAATTGAAGAAATTATACAGTGCGCAATCGTTTTCACCACGTCATGGAAATAATTATTTTTTTCTTATTTATTTTATCTTATTTTTTTTTTTTTTTTTTTTTTTTTTCCTACGATTGTACGCAAAGGACTTTCTGAGACACAGAGGTCGAAAGCTAAGAAGAATTTTTCAATGAACCATCGTCTCCTTTATATGTCAATGGGACAATAAATTTCTAATTGCATGATTAGCGCGGCGCATAGTGTTCTTTCTGCACCTCATGCATTTGACCTACTATTGTATTATAGACAAGTAGCCACGTGTGAAACATTTGTGTAGAAACCTTGCGTAAATGGTTCGCCTTTCTTGAATCATTAGAAGGGCCAATTAATTTTGGTTCGACCCGATTCTGATAACTTTAATTTTAGAACAGCGCAAAAGGATTTTGTGTATTAATCGTTATGTAAGTACTGTAAATACGTACTGTACGTCGCACGTACAGTATGTACATTTCTTCTTTTTTTTTTTTTCACATTCATTTTAGGTTTCCCGACTAGATAAATGCGTACCACGTATGTACGTACGCATTGTACCGTACGCCCCAGGAAGGTCATAGGTCAAACGGGGGTTAGCGTCGTTTTATTTCTAGAATCACGTCGTCATACGTGCATGACAAACAAGTTTTAATATGACGTTTTAACTAGTAACTTTTGGTCATAAAAGGGTGGTGCCCAATTTATTTGTTAAAATGTTTTTACCAAAACCCAATCAACATCTGAAACCCACACTAATTTCGACGTTTGATAAGGCACGCCATCTTGATATCATCACATCACCCCCGATATACACTAAGTTCGGATAACGATGTCAAGATTCCTATAAATAGCTATTTCATCACGTGAAACGCTTCCGAAATAATTTTTATCACTGTGAGTACGTATACATATCGATATGTGAATACATACAATCGCATTGAACAATGTATTCATCTAATTTCGGACCCACATTCGAATGAATACTTTGTTCGGATGACTGTATACAACGCAAAATTTCACGTGAACTGATGGTTCGACCTGTCATTCGTCTAAAAGAGCTATCTGGAACGTGCAAATGATCGGAGTTTCGGATAATATAATGTATATATATATAATATATACATATCGCAATATCTTTTTTCTCTTTATAAAAAAAAAAAAAAAAAAGATGGTATCTCGTCTTCCGCCGGAAATTTTACAAGAAATTTTCAAGTACTATCTATGTATCAAAGATTCAAGATTTAAGAGTCTAAAAAAATCATGTCTCCTAGTTAATCGCTATTGGTGCTACAATGTCATCTCGATAGTATGGGAGGAACCGTTAAACGTTTTTGCGAATTCGGATTTCCCCGAAAAAGATTCCAAAGACGACATCATACGAGTTTACATCACCAATCTTCCTCGAGAATCAAAGGCCCTGTTAAGAGCTGCGGGAATAGATTCCCCAGAGATATCGGAGAGATCGGATAGCACCTTCAACTACGCATCATTCTTGCAGAGAATTGAATTGCAAGGTCTTTACGAAGTTATAACGAGTTGGATCATAGGGTCAAAATGCTATGTTTCTAGGAGATACAGTGAAACTCAAGAGAGGAGACTGCTGCTATTTCGAGAACTATGCAAGTTGTTTGTCTCACAGAGTCCGAATCTCAAATTTAGCATAATACTAGATGTAATTAAGCGGGATGAATTTTTTCACTTTCAGCAATTATCTGATATCATTCCATCAAATTCCATTTTGGAGAAACTAGTCGGCCATACCGGGCACGTGAGAGAAATATATGGATCAATAGGCAAAACATTTTCTGAGATCAAGAACATGAACATATCTTGCGATGTTTACGACAACATGGGACTAGCTTCGCTGATAGATCAAATGCGCGAGAACACTTGGTCATTGATAATCTCTGGAACTCCGGGATTGTCCATCACCGAATCCCTTAAAAGAAAAACACATCTTTTGACCTCCCTAGAAATTACCAGTGATGAACCGTTTCCAGAGATCTTTGTGAAATGTCAGCTCCTGAAAACTTTAATAATCCATGAAGCCCACGAATCTCGAGTCTACCCATCCATACTAGAAGCATTCGCCAATACCTCCTTCATTCAACTGACGGAATTTTGTTTTTACTCGGAGCATCCCGTGAAAACTTCATTCATCTCCAACATAATTAGAAACACACGTAAAACAATCAAAAGCTTACGTATTATCACCTTGTACAAAGAGGTCTTATTTACGGATCCTGAGAATTTTCCTCTACTATTATCTTTCATCCCTTCAGATTGTCCGCACCTAAGAGAGCTTCATATTCCCTTTACCAAAACAACACTTGACCTGATGTATAACATATTCCGTGTTTGCAATATGCTAAAAATCGTGATTCTGGATTGGTACGATGATCCGATCGAACCGCAATCAGAATTTTTTAATTGGGCGGAGAATTTGGGAAAGTCCATCCCCTTGTCATTGATATCGCTTCGTGTCAAGGGATGCATGGGATTTAATGTCGAGGCTACCGATAGACTCCTCGATCTGTGTTTCAGGAGAAAGATTAAATCCTTGAAGTTAACAATAGATGACTGGACATTTTCGGAATATTTTGGGGAATTGATCGAGGTTATTGATAAATATATACTCCAAGGAACATTACACGCGAACTCCAGGCTTACTTTGAGACGAGGATTCAATGTCATGTGATCATTTATCGAAATGGAGGGCATCGCCTTGAATTTCTTCTTTAAAGAAAAGAAAAGTTAGCTATCAGTAGCCGATTCATACCTGACGCAAACAAGCTGTTTGTAAAAACAATAGCTTTCGCGTATTCGTTACTGTATATTGATGATACAACACAATTGCTTTTTTCTGTAAAATACGATTTATATTTTGACATTTTAAATTGATTGGCAATACTTAAGATTACAGTATGTTCTCTTAAACCGAAGTGTCCTTTCCGACAAGTTATCCGTTCTAATTCTCTTCTGCGAACAAACTATCTCAATCGCGACTACCGCAAAATAGTGCGCATATTATTCGCGGAAAAAAAATCGCCTTCGACATCGTCCCTAATAAAAGAATGATGGATTTTCACCTTTTCCAGCTCAACACCTATAACATTGTCAATTGATATTTGATATTTACAGTTTCTTTTTCTCTTTTTTTTTTTTTTTGATCATTTAGTACTGATCCACCCAAGGTAATAAAGCATCTAGCTGTCTGTTGGAGATAGGTCTGTATGTGGTCACCTGTATCCTTTTATTACATTTAAGCAACTTTGTCATAAAATTTAATTAATATAAATCTGACCTTAATATCGATAATAAATTGTATGATTATAATAATTATGTTAAAAGCAAATAAACATTTACAGTATAATATATTGTTATTAGAAAAGATGGCAGTGACGTTTATAATGGTTAACACCTTTTAATGATCTTATAAATAAGTGCCAAAATGAAATATCATTTCGAGAAACCTTAGAACTTGCTTTCAAAGAGAAAAAACAAAAAAATAAAAATAAAAGGATACTAAATTTGATAAGTTGATGGTTTTTGCTTGTTTAAATTTGTTTTCAAAGTTATAAATAAAATTTCTAAAAAAAAATTTTTTTTTGAAACTAAATATAGTTTAAATCAGAATTGATTAAATTTAATTAAAATTATTCATTATTATAATATAGTATATGATTTGTCTTTAGAGTTATAAATAATTAATAATAATGAGTTATGATCAGGTTTCAGAGTCTGTTAGTATAATTTTGGGATAGGAAATGTTCAAATGATCACTATAGTCCTAAAAGCAAGGTTCCAAAGTCTACTGGTATAGTTTGAAATTAGTAATGTGTTCAAATAATTACCACAATCCTAAAAGCAAGATTCTAAAGTTTGTTTTCTGTCCAGTTTAGAAGAATTAGGTTAAGCATAATTTGTGTAATCTGATCAAAGATCTTTTTTCATATAATCCTTATAATAGAGAAACATAAAGTCCCATTTTCATGCAACCTGATTATTTTTTCTTATATAGTCCTCATATGGTATTGGACTTTGGATCTTATAATTATAACCTGGAAGCATTACTACTGTGCTATAAACTCACGGGTCTAATTAAATTTTTTTTAAAAAAAAGTTTTTATAATTATAATAAAAAATTTTTATTGTTTATTGAATACTTATTTAATTTTATTTTTAAATAATTAATAACTTGATAAATATTTAATTATTTTATTATTATTATTTTTTTTAATCCATTATCAAGCTAACAAGACTTATTTTTATTGTTTATTTAAAATCATTATACAATTTAAAAAACTTTTATATAACACCTCATCCATCTTTAAAGTTTAACTTCTTTAGATGCAACTTAAGAAATAATATTTTGCTTTCTTGATAACTTGAATTATTCTTTAGCTATCAAGTTTATTGTTTACAAATTATTACTCTAAATCATTTAAAATCCCAAATAGTAGATTAAATACCTAATCAATTTTCTTTTTTTTACTATCCATTTTTCAATAATCTTTTCAATGCTTATACCTTTAAGTTATTCTTTTGATAAAATCTTTTTTAATAGAGAACTATTCTCTTTCTTTGAATTTTCTATATTATTAAACTTCTTTTTTGAAATTCAATATTATTTAGATCTTCTATTAATACCTAAGATTTTTTTCCACTTAATTACTACTTTATAATAGTTATTTCAAATCTTTCTTCTAAAATTTTTTCACATTTGTTGATACAGTCTTTGGGAGATTTTTAATATTTCTTATTTTATCTTTACGTATATATTCATATATTATTTTAAAAAGACTTGATTCCTACTGCTTCATTTTGTCAAGCCATATAAAAACTATTTGATAAATAGTTTCTTAATTCTTATTCTTAACCTTCACTTAATTAGTAATATATTGAATTGGTTTCTTATTTGCTTCTTTTCAGATGTCTAGTCTTTCAAAGCTTATTACTAAGCATATAAACAGATAGTTATTTATCTTTTCATAAGTTCTACATCTAATATAAATAATTATTTATAGATTTCTAATTTTCACTTCTTGAGTATTTATAATGTAGAAAGCTCATTATAAGTGAGATTTATCAAAAAACTTTTGTCTTGTTGTTCTTGAAGAATATATAAAATATATAATATAGATTAAACTGACTTCAAAGACTATTTGATTTATCTCGATTTTTTTTTTTACTCTATTATTTTTAAATTTACTTTTGATTACTTCAGGCAAGGCCAATCTTTTTTTTTATTCTATTCTTTAATGAACTCTTGAATATCAATAATAATGGTCAGATCTTTCAATATAGTTATAGAGAAGATCATATTTATTTTTAATATATATTATCATTCCATTGAATTTTCTTTTTTAACTAATTTTATTAATATATCTATCATATTTTTAAGATAATTATCTTTATATATATAGACTTTTTTCAATATTAAGATATAATTTTTTCTTAATCAAATTTTTAATCCTTGTTCAAAATGATTAGTTAGCTGCTTTAATTTATTTTTTTAATAATATATGGGATTGTAACTATATAGTATTTAATATTTTAATAGCCATAATGCAGTCTATAAAGATAGTACTGTTAGTATCTTAAGATAAAATATAAAGTACTATCAATATTGCTAGTATTTTTACTCTTGTTACTAAAGACTATAACAGTTTACCTATTGAGAATTGGTTGATAATGGTATTTTCCTGGGTTTGAATCCAAGCAAAACCTATTTGACTCTCTATTTTAATAACTTTTGTTTCTTTCTTAAAGAATCTATTAATGTAAAAGGTAAAGTTTTTATATCTATCATTTTAATTAAATCTAAAAGTATCTGTCAATTCTTTAATATATTTTTTTGAATAAATTATTTGTTCTATTAACAAAATATACCAGTTCTCTATTACTACTTCTTTATATATTGTCACTATCTCCAGAATATTGAATTCATATTATTTTAAGTTATTAAATATTTATCTATTGAGTTGTCAGAAAGCAGTAGAGATTTTTTTATCCTTATACTTCTGGACTTATTGAGTTGAGATAGGAAATATGTTTTTAAAAATAATACTATTGTTATTTGTCTAAATAAATCTAGATAATGTATAATTGAATTATCAATATAATTATAACTAAATTGATATAGGGTAAAGATCATGTTTCCTTATGCTCTCTTAATTTTTTCTATCATGTTTTTTGATAAATTAGTATTAATTTCTCAATAAGTCTTTATTTATTTATCTTATTAGAAAGTTGTTCTATTTGGATTTCATAATTGTACCATTCTAAATTTTTGAATAAATTGCTAAGCAAGTTTTATTTTTTTATGATCTGAGAAATAACTTGCTTATACTATTTAGAAATATAACTTTTTCTATTTTCAAAAATATATTTGAACTGCTTCTTATTTTCTAATTATTTCTGTAGTTAAGTTAATTAATTGATCAAGAACATTATATTATATTTTTTAAGGAATGCTATAGCCTTTTTATAATTATATTTCTCATGAATTGACTTAATAGAAATAAACTTTCATTGACTTGAAAAAGGTTTTTTCATCTTCAACTTTGATATATAATTTGAAAATTATTGATCAAAACCAGAGTAATAGTTGTAATATTATTTTTCTCAAAAAAAGTAACTTTTGTTAAATATTTCAAGATATTTTTAAGTTTCCAGTATTTCACTGATTCTATTTGAGATAAATAATTATTGCTATTTTTGAATTTTTTTGAATTGTTAAGCTGATAGAAGAGAGAGATTATATGACTCTCCAGTTGAACTTCCTATATACTTTTAAGATCTAATATCTTCTTGTTATGAATATAACTATTTGACATTATACTATAGATAAGGGTTTTGTTTTTAAATGGTTTTCTGTATATTGTTGTAAGCTCATTGTAATTTTTTTTCAATATATATGTACTATATATAATATTCTATCTGAAGAATTAAAATTTTGTTAATAATATATCTATTATATTTCTCAATCATGGTTTTTCTACTAATTGTTAAATTTATAAATCTAATCTCAACTTTTAGCAAATTAATTGTATTCTTACTATTATGTCTTCTTTCAAATCAAACTCTCAAGAATCATGTCTAATATTTTTTACTTATTTCCTTGACTTCTATTCTATCTGTATTAGCATAACCTATTTCAAGCTTCAACTTATTCAAATCTAATATAAACAAAATTGATTTTTTGCATTAATCTATAAATCATTTGTTATATACTGTATAATTTTTTGATCTCTTTCAAAATATTCTTTATATTTTGTTTAGATCTAACTATTCAAGTTATATCATTCATATATAAGATGACCACTTGTCTAATGGATAGCTTCTTCTTTATTTCTAATATCTAAAAATCAATAATTATTCTTCTATAATATATTTGTAATTCTACTTACTTTTAATTTTGCAGAACAATGAATTATAGAAAATTTTCTAGAGTAAAGAAAATATTGTTTTCCTTTGATCAATACTATCTTTTATTATAAATAGATTTGAAAGTTCAATAGGGAAAATAGTATGACATTTTCTAT